TAAAAGATAACTGACAGAAAAACTATGTTATTCAGACTTGGGTATATAGATCAATGAAACAGAAGACAGCCCAGAAATAAACCAACATATATGAAGTTAACTGATTTTTCAACAAAGGAGGCACAGTAATTCAATAGTGGAGAAACAGTCTGTCCAACAAATCATGCTGAAACAATTGGCTTTGTACATAGAAAAGAAAAAAAGACACCAAACAACTCTTACCTCACACCATATAAACAAATTAACTCAAAGCAGACCACAGATTTAAATGTAAAAGCTAAAACAATAAATTCTCTAGAAGAAAACATGTAAGAAAAATCTTCATGACCTTGGGATATGTAAAGATTTCTTTCAGAGAAAAAGAGGTTGAACCTTAAAAGAAACTACCAATAAATTGTACTGCATCAAAATTAAGAACTTATGCTCTTCAAAAGTTGCCATGAAGAACATGATAAGGCAGGACACAAACTAGAAGAAAATATATGCAACAATATGATAAAGAACTCTTCTGGAGTTTGTGAAGAACTCCTACAAATCAGTCATTAAAAGACAGACAATATAATGTGAAAATGGGCAAAAGACTACAACACTTCACAAAAGAAGATATATAAATTACTAATAATGTTGTAAAAGTTGCTCAAAATTATTGGTCAACAGAAATACAAACTAAAAAGACTGGCAATACCAACTGTTAATGAGGAGGTACTAAATTGGAACTCTCATACATTGCTGGTGGGCATTAGAAATGGTTTAACCACTTCGGAAACCAGTTTGGCAGTTCCTTAAAATGTTAAATATACACTACAGTATGTCCCATCATATATACTTAGTCTTAGGTATTTACTCAAAAGAAAACAAACAAACAAAAAAACCCCATGAGGCCATACAAACAACTTACAAGTGAATGTTCATGTTTATTTGCAATAGTCAAAAATTGAAAAAAATCTGAAGCAAACTGTGCCATAGTCATACAAAAGAATACTACTCAGCAATTTAAAAAAAATAAAACATTTTTTTCACATAACAGGGATGATATCTCCAAAACATGCTGAGCAAAAGAAGCTAGACACCCAAGAACACATTTCTAGAACAAAAAATTAAACTACAGTGTCAGAAAAACAGATCAATTGTTTATTGAGGATGGTGGAGGGGAAGAAAATTTGACTGCAAATGGGTACCAGAGAACATTTTAGAGTTATAAAAATGTTCTATCATCTTGATTGGGGTGGTGGTTCTATGGGTACACACATTTGTCAAAACTCAT